CTTTACACCAAAGAAATCTACTAAAGTCTGCCGGTGTGCAGTCTTTTCGGTGAACATTCAGTTGCCCCGCGGCGTTGCACAGTAGACGCGAGTAACAGCAGTCGAGAGCTACAGGGGTCAAGAAACTTGTCTAGAATATCATGAATGGATGTGGATTGGTGTATCCGGCTGTGCCCTTTAGATCGGGCAATGGCTCACGCCACTAGGTCATAAAGTTAATTGCTATGATTGTGTGTTTAAGGATTGAATATCACTAGTGCCTCGATTGTAGCCACCAATCAGTTAGCCTCCTCCTGGTTATTTCGACCCGTTCAAACTTAATTTTGCCTTCACTGTCCCTAAACCCCAATGCTTTGAAAATTCGGTGCCATTATCTTCGACTAGAGGGTAGAGCCCCTTGCAGAACATTATATGTTCAGCCGTTTCCTCCTCCTCTCCACACGCACTACATACCGTGTCTGTGCCTTCGTATTTTGCTCGGTATGTCTTGGTCCGAAATACTGCCTTTCAAGCCTCGATGAGCAGAGAACTACCCCCAGAATTATCGTAGATATTTCCCTTTGCAATTTCCTGCTTAAAAGTTCAGTAGGTCTCCATGATTTCGCAAGCATTCCCATCTTCCACATAACCTTCTCTGTTTCCTTCATCTTCTTCTTAACCAATGTTTCCTTTTGCCTTGGTATTCTGCTGTTGTCTAAATACTTGCTTGACAATTTTTGAGTTCGCTTCCTCCATTTAGTGTCAACATTCTTCATGTGGCTGAAAACATACTGAAGCACCCTGTGTGCCCCCTATAAACGATGAAACTTGCGAATTGTAACGTCATCTATCCGAGTGATATGCAAACGCATCTAGGTAAAGAAGTTACCATATTTTTGTGCTTCTGAATATATTTATATTACTGTAATGCTGTCTATGGTGGTGACATTGGTGGTTATTTCTAGCGATGGTACGCCAGGAGCACGGAGGAAGGAAAGGTAAGGACGTCACTCGCTGTGAAGCCGCGAGGAAGCCGGAAGTCGGCCATATTCACTGGGCAAATTCTCCTCTCTTGTTTACATATGAATGCGAAGCAAAAGGCGCGACTCCTTCTCTGTCTCGAAAAGCACGTGGCCTGCGCGCTGCGTGCGCCGGTGCTACCCGAAACCAACAGAACGGATTTCAACACGCTGTCTTGCCGCGATACGGTTGACGAAATCTCTGCGTATGGCTGTTGTACTCTTGCACTGCCGGTGTTTACGATAAACACGGCAAGTTGTACGTTAAGCTTTTTTTGTATTTGATGTGTTCTTTGTGGAAACAAAGATGAGATTTCGGACATTGCCATGCGACGAACTAGGCAACGAAATTTGTACAGCTTCTTTCAGATCACTTTTTCTCCCTTTTGCGCTTCTCTTTAGGCTTTATGAAATTTTCGGTCAGGCTGTGGGCTAGACACAACGATAAAAAAAGAAAAAAAATGTCTTCCCTGCAATAAACCCGGATGTCCGTACTTATGCCAGTAAAGTCGGCGTCGGTGGAGCTTGTGTGCGTGGCAGCCCGTTGAGTTTGCGCCGGCCTCTTTGTTTTCGCCTCTCTTTTGTCCGACGCGCACTGGTTCCTACGGATATCCCAAAGGCCATGATTTCATCAGGACGAAAGCAGCGAAGAACACGCGAAAGTGCGTGGGAACCAAGGAGGATACGTATGTATCCTCCTTGGTGGGAACACGTCTCCAGTGTGATTCACGCGCACTCAGTAGCTCCAGAGAACGGAGACCAGGATCGCGTTAGGGCGAAAGGTGGGAAAGTTAACCGAAGGAATGCGTGAGAAAAGGTGGACATCACTTCGTCACCGGCTTTGTCAGCTTCTGAATGCACAAGCACGCGCATCTAGTGAGGTGCCCCTAGTTACCTTGTGCAGGTGCGTGTAGACATTTTAAGGAGTTTTTTTACAATACAGACAATATTGCGGAGAGCGAGACAATACTGCGAAGAGGGAGCATCTTAAGCGAAGCAGAACAGGAACTTCATTGCGGAGAAGCATGTGGTAACTGTACAGGAACATGAAAAGAAAGATTAGATTACAGTCTTAATATGGGCCTGTGGACCGCAAATGCATCGTCCGTTGTCATAAGAAGCAACACCGCATAGCTGTCACTAACGTGCAAGGCATTCATTGAACGAATTCTTGAGCACAGTCGTTATCTTCTATGATGGCTTTTCAGCATAATTTTGACGGTTGCTGCGAATTCGGAGTACGTATACACGTGCTCGTTCCGTGGTTTCTAGTTCAGACACCTGGTTACAACCACCACCGGAGGAAAATCGCGTAGCTAACAATGCGGCACAAAGAATGGATGTTGTCGAACACCTGCAGTACGCCACGGTTAGGTGCGAGGCCCATGAAAACGCGCACACCGCCGCTGGACCGCCTGAGCGGAGCCGCACCGCACTACATCAATAATAACAAAACGCCGCCATTGTGCCAGCGAATACGGCCGGAAGGAAAGGTCCTTCCTTCCTCCGGGCTCTCGACTCAGGACGCCATGAAGCTGATCAAGCACCAGGTCATTGACTCCGGCTCCGCCGACACCAAGGCGATTCTTGGATTGGATTTGGAAAAGGCTTTTGACAACATATCACACGCCTTTATTCTCAAGAGCTTGTCTGAGTTTCACGTCGGCAAGCGGGCGTACAATTTTGTGCGCTCCTTCCTTTCGTCGCGGTCCACAAGACTGAAGATTGACGATTTTTTGACCCACGAAATTACCCTTGGGCCAAAAGGGACACCTCTGGGGGCGGTGATCTCCCCGACGCTGTTCAATATCTGCATGATCAACCTGTCGAGGGCCTTGAACAAAATCCTGAACATTAACCACACGATCTACGCAGACGACATCACCATCTGATGCCTCAGCGGATGTGAGGGTCAGGTCGAGAGTGCTTTGCAAGAGGCCATCGATGTGACGGAGCGCTATCTCATCCCCACCGGGCTAAGGTGCTCGCCCGCTAAGTCCGAGCTCTTACTGTATAAGAAGAGGCCCAGAGGCGGTTCTCACCGGTCCTGGAAGCCAGCAATGGAGAGCCACATCACGTTATTCACGGGTGACGGCTCCCCAGTTCCGCGGGTGGAAACTATCAGGGTCCTTGGAATGTTTATCGAGTCTAACGGAGCCAATGGAGCCGCCGTCAAACGCATTTGTTCCAAGACCGAAAGCGCCCTCGGACTGATTCAAAGAATCGCTAACAGGCACCGCGGAATCAGGGAGGACAATCTGATCCGGATTATCCACGCATTCGTGCTATGCCACCTCGCTTATTCGGCGGCTATGCACAACTGGCTCGTGTCGGAGCGCAACAAAATCAATGCCCTAATCAGAAGAGTCTTCAAGCTGGCCCTTGGCATTCCCGTTCGAACGCACACGGAAGACCTCCTGAAGTTGGGAATCCACAACACGTTCGAAGAAATTGTCGAAGCCCAAGAGTTTGCACAGTTTGTCAGACTGTCTGGCACCCCAACGGGTAGAGCCATACTCGGCATGCTGGGACGAAACCCCACGGTTGTCGGTCCTGACGCTGTGAAGCTGCCCAACGACGTAAGATCCAAGATCCAGATTGCGCGGATGCCGCGCAATATGCATCCAACCTACAACGAAGCACGAAGACGAGCCAGGGGTAAATCTCTGCTCGCCAGTGCCCGCTTGGACAAGGATCGAGCCTGCTTCGTCGATGCTGCTTCGTACATTCAAGAAGAAGCCTTCTCCTCAGTGGTCGTCGACTGTGATTGCAGAGTCATCAGCTGTGCTACCATCCGCACTTCTAGTTCCAGCGTTGCAGAGCAGGTTGCCATTGCTCTTGCATTGACGGACGGTGTACATGACACAATTTATTCAGACTCCAAGGCCGCTATCAAGGCCTTCCAGATGGGCATGATGGCTCCCCAGGTCCTACAGACTATTCAAAAAGTCAAAGACCTCAAAAATCACTCATTGGTCTGGTTTCCTGCGCACCTTGGAACCATTGAGGGTGCCTCGCTCAATCACAACGAGGAGGCGCACTCGGCTGCACGAGGTTTGACTGACCGTGTGCCGGGTAATGCGTCATCTCCTGGGCGACCTGAGCCTCTCTGCTCGTACAACGAAATATGCAAGCACCACTATCTGTCAAGAAGACTGCTGCCTCTACCACACTCCTCGCTATGCAGGGCCCAAGCTGTTACTCTCTGACTGCTACAAACAAACACTTACCCGAGCCCTGCGGCACTGCACGCAATGTACCCTGAACGGTTTCCAAGCCTGGACTGCCCCCTGTGTGGTGGTTATGCGGACTTCGAGCATGTACTGTGGGGCTGCGCCTCTGCCGGTCCCCCTTTCACCCAAGAGGAAATGAAGCGACTCATTAAGGCCCAGGACCAGACCTCTCAAATCCTGGCCGTCCAGAGGGCCCGCGCGAGGGCCGTCAGGTTTAACCTGATGGTCCCCGAGTGGGCCTAGCCAGGTGACGCTGAGTTTACTCGCGTCTATTGCGGACCGAATAAAGTTGTTTCACTCACTCACTCACCCTCCCCCGGCTGGGCATGCCCTCTACTTATCTTTCCTTCCTCCGTGGCCAGGTAAGAGTGGTGCGTTGTTTAATGGTGACGCCCAGGTTAGTACTGCTTCTTTCACAAGCCTATCAGTATGAGAGCGTTTTAGCGTCATTTATCCATGTAGTCAAAAGCTCATTTTGTCAAGCCTAAAAAACCGTAAAAGTATGTTCAAAATTTAATTACAAACGACAATAAGCATTCTAAATTTTTGGTTTTTACATCTGTTTGTTTACTTACGTCGCGGTTAATAGTTGATGTTACTATTGTTTATATTCGACCGCGGCCAAAACAAGTATGTTGGTAACACTGGTGCGTTGTTAAATGGCGGCGTTTACGGGGTCAGTGCTGATATGTGTTGCTTCCATGGTTGCTTCCCGTCTAGATTTTGAATCACTTGATCTCTCTACGAGGAAAAGCTCTTCACTCCGCGCCCATCCCGCCCGCGTTATCACAAAATCTCCGAAACTGCTGTACTTGTGTCGCCCTGTTGTGGTCTCTCGCTTGTTACGTCTCATAGAGGCACTGCGCCGGGTCGCCTGTAGCCAGACAGAAATTAGGTGCCTTCTTCCTTTTCCTTACAAACCACTAACGTCTCATAGACATGGGACGCCCGCGCGTCATAAGAACTCCGTCGGAGGAGCGCGAGTTTCAGCTTCGACGCAAGGAAATGAGGCGAGTCCGCCTTCTTAACCAGACCGAGGAACAGCGTGCCATCATGCGTTCGAAGCAAGCCGCATTGCAACGCCGTAGGCGCCAGGACGCCGCACTTCGGGAGCGCGAGAATGAAGCACGACGGCGACTCCGAGCGGACCCTGTGATTAGGCAGCTGGAAGCGGCCAAACAGCGTGCGAGACGCGCAGACGAGGCGGTGCGTCTGCGAGAGGCAGAGGCGAGATGGAGGCGACGTCAGAACCCCGAAGTTCGGCAACTCGAAGCGGCAAAACATCGTGAACGGCGTAAAGACATAGCAGTGCGTCTGCGAGAGGCAGAGGCGAACTGGAGGCGACGTCAAAACCCCGAAGTTCGGCAACTCGAAGCGGCGAGACATCGTGCCCGCAGGGAAGATCCGGAGGTGCGCCTACGAGAGGCACAAGGTAATCGACGGCGCCGACAGAACCTAGAAGGCGCGATAAGCGTTGCACAACAGTATGACTACGAGGCATCTCGGGGATCAGAGACCGGGGAGGACTGGCAATCGCGGCTGAGGCAACGAACGCAACTTTCCAACGAGCAGGTATGCGTGTTGTGACGTTTGCTTTTGCCTCGCCCGAGAACAAGACCTATCGCCCGTCAACAGCGCTCAGCTGCCCTTGCTAATTGCCGAATTTCCGGACGAAGAAGTGGACTCCTTCTTGCTGTGCTCGTTGTGTCACTGCCGCAATTAGAGCGGATGCAATTGGTGCGCCTTCTCGAAGCAACGGCTACGCACATCCTGCTAATACCGCAGGTTTATGTGAAGATCACTTTTTCTGCAGGTAAGAGGGTGCGCCACAGTTGTGCAGATGTCTTCACAGGTCTCGCATGGCCACGTGTACTGGTGCTTCAGACAGCACCATACTTGTTGGCATAGTAGTGCTGAGTGGACTGTAGCGGTGGCAATCGTGGCAGCTTTGTCAATTCACAAATAATGTGTACCGTTTCACCCCTCGGAAGTCTCAACTTATGTAACACAAGACAGTATTTAGTTGCCCTGTCAGATGTGGGAATTTTCGAAGTAGTAAACAAGCTTCTGAAAGCGAGGTAACTTGTTTGATAGGTTTGTGCTGGCCACACGCATACAAAATGTCTATTTAGTATAGCGTATATGTAACATACTTAAAATCATGTTTTAATGCGCGTGTAGTGACACAAGCCACTTTATGACATTGAAACCAACTTGTTTTTGATGCTAACAAACGACAACCATCTGCATGACGACTTTGTGTTGGTTTCCATGGTGTCTTCTTGCAGACCTTTTCAGCAAAAAGAAAGAGCACTTCCCTTATCGACTTGCACTGCTGTCCATAAAGACAAAACTAAAGAAGTCTGCCGAGATCTGGAGTCTCGAGTGGTGTCTTTTCTGGAACACTAAGGTCCAATTCGAAACATGTCAGTACAGACCTTGATGGCGAAGGTCTATGGGCACACTTGTGTAAAGCAACTTTGGCTCAGAGAAGCTGTGGAGACTATAAAGACAAACTCAAAAGGAAGTTCCCATGCGTTGTATATGGGATTACCTTGTAATCGGTAAAGCTATTATGTGAAAACCGAAGCACAGGGAATGAATGCGCTACGTATAGCTCGCAGCGTACATAAGCCATGGCATCGACTGGAATGATTCAAAGTTAATAGGAAAAGTAGAGAACAAAACAGCTAGGCTTCTTCTAGAATCTCTGTATATTCAGGCAACCGGTAACATGCTAAAATGCAACTTATGTAGCCAAGCTGTCCGTGCTATGCACTACATGTTTACGTCACATCATTAAGCCCATGTAACCCTGAAAACTATTTCTTTTACAGTGAAAGCTGTTATCGGATCACAATTTGGGTCCCGCACAGCGCCGGTAGTTGTTCGTCGCCACCACCGGCTTCTGTAACACATCGCACAAAACTAAAAAAAAAAGAAACCTAGTACCAATGACACAGTGGGGCTCGAACTCGTGTCCACTGTGTGCCAGACCAGTATTCTACCACTTAGCCACGCCGGTGCTTGGGACTTGTTGCCAAACGTGCCTTAGGCAGGCTTGATGTCGGTAAAGTTATCGCGTTAATACGACTTGTAAAGCATTTTAAAACAGCGAAAGAACAAGCAGTCCTTGCACAATGCGAATAGCGTAATGAAGGGCTGGTCCAATGCTCCAACCCGAAGCTTGTTTTTGTTCAGCTATAAACTGTGGCGCATACCCACTTCAGGCATAATTCTTCATTGTCGTTAGCCACTGCACGAACCATTGGCACGAAATTCCTCGCACTTGTTTAGCGGATACCACGCTTCTCAGAAAAAAGCCGAAAAATAGCATAGTGAATGCCAGTCTGCTACCCTAGAAGTTTTATTAACAATGCCGTAGTGGGCATCAAGCAAGTGGGCTTGCAGCAGTTACCCAATGAGTGTTTATAAAAGGCTCTGAAAGGCAGCTTTTCTAGCTTTTGCTGTGACTGTGTGCTGCGCCTTCCGCGCAAGCCTGGCGTTTTTTTGAACAAGGCCTCCGTAGCGGGGCCGAAATGTCATAGGTATGTTTTTATTTCAACGACTGGTTGGTGCGTACTATTTCCTACCAACACAAGGTAAGGTGTGCTGATACAGACACAAGCGTAGTGCATTGCATAAATGTCAACTTTTATGTGATAGGGAGCACTACGGCAGTAAAGAAGGCATACACAAAAACTTGTATGTGCGCAGATAGATTAGTGTCGCCTGGTAATCATGCACAGAACTTGGTAATTGAAATGCAATGCCCAGAGTACATGGCTTCTGGCTGTGAGACATTCTGGCAGACTGGATGCCTCTCCAGGCAGCATGAAAGAGAGTATTGGTCAGTGGCCAACTCAGGAAAAGATCACATGCTTTAGAATACCAGCAGGCAAAAAAAGAGTTTCACGCTCGCCATCATGGCTACTAACGGTGCTGACAACCGTGAAATGCCGAGCAAGCACCCACCCCACCCCCTTTTTCGGGAAATCGGAAATAAGCATCGATGTCCGAGCCAGGTCCCCGCTCCTTCCCTGCATTTAGAAGTGTGGCAGCTTGGGCTAGTTGGTATGGCATGACGACAGTTATAGCGCGAGAACAAAACGACGACACAGAGACAAGAAGGACTTTCATGTCCTTCTTGTCTCCGTGTCGTCGTTTTGTTCTCGCGCTATAACTATCGTCTTCCCTGCAGTCACTTTCTTTTTCAGGACGAGCATGACTTGTGCAAAATTTACAGCAAGTACACAGAAAGTCTATCAAATGTTTATGAAACTTCGTTGTAATGCGGCTGGTCATATATATCTAACTGGATGCTGCTTCAATGCTGACACTTGTGTCAGTTCAGCTTCATTGACATAATCAAGAAAAGAAATTGACTTAAGATTATTGGTGTGATTGTTCCTGGTTGCGACCAATGCTGAGGAGTCGTTTGCTGAGTTTCTTGGTGAAGAAGGGGAATAAAATACAGCAGATCCTAAGCACCGTAGGAAGCCATGTTACGCGAAATTTGTGGAGGAAAGCTGACTGTGTTGTAATCTTTTCATTGAGCGAAATATTGCTAAACGACGCTAAAGATATGTACAAATGCACCCTCAGACATATGTTAAACAGTCGCATCTTTACTGTTGCATAATAATGGCAACACCAACATGGGTATTAGCAACAGCAGACGTGGTAAGCTGATATCTAACACTTCTGCCAGTGAGGATGGCGGTCCTGGACACTGCTAGATTAGCTTCAGTGTATGGTACTTCAGTACAATTGTCGTTAATCCGACGTGACGGCTGTATGACAGAAGCACGTATATGTTCTTCATAAGATTGAATAGCCAACACAGTTACCGCAGTTGACGTTACATGAACATTACGGTCTGCTTGAAAAGCAGTTTTGATTCTGAAACTGTCTGTCCATCTACACATCTGTCTGTCTATCCATCTATTCCAGCGCCCTTTCATTCATCTGTCCGTCCGTTCATGTGTCCATCGTTTATACTAGTTGGCGACTTAATCGTAGACATTACGGACCCTAAGACCTATAGTTTTGCCCACTCGTTGTCATTCATTTTGTGGAGACTCACTGTTTTTTCTGGGTGCTATCAAATTAAAATTACCAATGTCTGTTTGTGCCGGCCCTTCGTTGATAGAAACTGTCAATCATCTTCAGTGCGTTGCGCTTAACTACAGTTGATCTTAACCCGACTTGACGGCCGTATCGTGGGGCGCATACCCACGTACCGGCCACTGGTAGAATACCGCTACCAGTGACATACCAATGCCCGCACGCCAGTGTTTCGGCCACTGTCTGTTCGAAAGTGTTTGACGACGCACACGATGGAACTGTTGCATTATTTGGGTCATGAAAGGCGAGTTGTGTTTATCAAATCATCTTACCCTCCCATACTAATTTTAGTTTACCCCAAGTTAAGAAATTTAAGAGGGTGATCACGAAAGCACCCCAGGGTAGGCGGCTAGACAGATAGATGGCAAAAGTTCTTGCAGTACTCAAAGAAATGCTTTGCATTTAAAAACAGTGAATAAGTATAGCAGTTCATTAGAAACACAACTGGGCATTTTTTATCTTTAGTGGCTCTTCCACTGTCCTCTTGAATTTCGGTCCGGGACTGAGGAAGCGCCCCCTCTCATATCTAGTTACCATAGAGGGGGCGCTTGCTATGTATTTTATGGTAACTTTGAGAAGTTCAAATGTGGATCTATCGAATTTAATCGAGTTAATTTCTCCTGTTCACAGTAGAATGGAAGCAGAAGTTAAAAGCTGCGGGGCCTGACAAATTCTCCTGCTCCTGCAACAGCTCAGCATATAGGCCGTATATGTAGCACACAAATGTATATAAAAATCTGTACGTACAGATTCAACGGAAATTGTCACAAAAGAAAACAAGTACATATGTACACACAAGAAAGTAGAAAAATGCAACAGTCAACATATGAAATGTCGGGTGTACAGGAAAACTGTGAAAACCTTGACATAATAGCAATAAAGAGTGTTTTACCCTAAACAACTAAATCTGAGATAAAGACAGAGGAATTGACAATATATAATGTCCTTTTGGTCAAACGAACTCATATTGTTAGAAATGAGAAATGTTTTGAACAAATAATTCGAATCTTCCATGACGTCGCCGTGAAATTCCGAATGTCTATTAAGAAGTGATGCGGATGGTTAAGTGTGCAATTGTTTCTTATAGTTCAATCTTATTTTCGGTGTTCACAAGTGATGCTGTAGCGTGGATTAGTGGCTACACCTACAACCTAACATGTTCAGTTTGGGTTCATGTGTTTAGTGGTACACCTGATTGGCTTTTAACATATAGTACTTCATTAATAAAGGCTTGGTTCAAAAGTTTTGTAAAGGTCTACGATAAACCTCAAATGCACATAGGACTCTTTTTTGTGGCAATATCAGGTTGTTATAATTTCTTTGAGTGGTGGTGCCTCATATACCCCATAAAGTGGACAGGGGGATGACCGCCAGTGTAGTATGGTTGGTGGAGCACTGGGTGCATTATTCAAGGTAGCATGCTTATTTCCTGCCAGCAGCAAGTTATCTTTTCGGCACTTAACTTTTTTGCATATACATAATGAATACAATTAGCATTTTCTACATTTTTGTTGACTTTCTTGTCTTCTAGTTGTAACTAACATTGCTATTTATTATTGTGATGTGCTATTGTATATGCAATAATAGATTTGGTACGCCGCACAATAATCGAATTTTCGTTCGTAAAAATTCATGCAAAGAAGGCCATGATAGCGCGGGACTGGACGACCTCTTCTAAAAATGCAT